TGATGAGAGCGTCATGGTGGAGATGCTGGCTTCGAGGCGGTGAGAGAGCAAAGGAGGGCGAGAGCCAGCCAAGGGCGGAAGATAGAACAGTTCCGATCGCGATCCCTTTCTTCCCTCTCTCGCTTCCCTCCCACTGTATTTTGCCCGTGGTTTGCATATTTAAAATCTCTGGACTCCATCCTCTCCCTACCAACGAAGTCTCTCCGTTTCTAAATGGAATTAGTGGAGATCGGAGCCTCTGGTGTAACGCACAGACATGATCTATGGACGCAGTTTGTTTCACAGTGAGTACCTCTCCAGCAGTGCCAGTCCGTTTCAGGGGTGCTGCCACCTCGCCTCTTGGCCCCATGCACTGGGAAAAGCCCTGCCAACCACTCCAACCAGACCCCGCAGTCCCTTGGAGTCTGGGGCAGATGTAAACTTTCAGTACTGCAGCATCATACAGCCTGGCGGGGGCGGCGCACAGAGTGGCGCTGGACCTCAGAGTTGGTCAGGGAAAACCCAGTCTCTCCGTAGGCAGGCTTTCTGGGTGGTCCAGAGGAAAATGTAGTTAAAAGTAGACACGTGCAGGAGATGCTGGGCCCCAGAGAGGACGCAGGTGGCCACAGGGAGGTAGCAAGATTGATCCCTGATGGGCAAGAAGGAATGATCCTCCTTTGTGGGGTTCAGGGGTTCATGGGCCCACCTTCTATTTCCCAGGTAAGCTAGTGCACATCTGAACCCAGGGGCTTCAGGTAGAATACATGCCAGCCTCTTACTCTAAAGCTCTGATTTCTGCTTCCAAGTGTGATAAAGCCCTGGAGTGAGGTGGGGAGGATTGGAGGCAAAGAGATTCAGAAGTCATCAAAGGCAATGTCAGAGAATGTGTGGTGGGAATGTCATGTTATGAAGCAAGGACCGGTGGGCTAAATCTGTGCCACTCTTTTAGGAGATCTTCTTAATCCACGAGTTCAACACTGCACAGTCTTGTGTGCAATTCCATCAAAATAGGAAAAGCAGAGTGAGGCCAATTATGAACACTGATATGCCTGGAACTTCTTTGTGCTTCTGGCAGTGGAGGGAGTTAAAGAATTAGAACACACACTCACACACACACACACACACACACACACACACACACACACACACTCACATACTCACACACACACACACACACACTCACATACTCACACACT